GTATTTTTTCCAGGGTTGTAGCAGGGGTACTGGGTCGGGGTGGGGTGCGTTAGCCAAACACTTATACTGCCACATGTGGTTTTAAAGACAAGACAGAATCAAAACCAGGTTTTCCTAGTATATTTTTATGTTCTAATATTATGCTACATTAATATTGTATACAACAACGCTACGCCGTGGTTCACAATTATGATGATTAACTGAATTTAACTTGAGTTTTAACTGTCTAAGAATATATACAATTTATTGATTAAAACACTATATCACGTAAAATTTATTAAATGGTAGAGAAAGTTTATTACGATGTTTTAAAAACTGTCAAAATACATAACATATAAAAATTCGACAAATGTAAAACAAATGAAAATTTACATGTATATTCTTTACTAAATCACACCACTTGCATATATTAACGATTCAATTAGTCCAAAAAGTCCACTAAGTGTCCATTTACAATGTGAAACTTGACGTATTTGTGGAAATGGTTTTCAAAATTTTCGTGAGATAATTTAAATGGGCTATTAACTTATCTGTTTCCAAAAAACTTCTGTGTTTTCTCGTATACCGTGAACAATTTAAAGTTGTAAACTGCGTAATCATTATGTTTTGACAAAGTATGTGTATCAAAAAGGGGTATAATAAAATGTAATATAAAAACTTTAAAAGAGGGACATTTTTGCTGTTGTTTATTGTGTTTGACTTTTTCATTTATATTTTCAAAAGAAAAGTAGGCCTAATAAATATAATGAATAATATTTAGTTAAAAGTTTGCATTTTTATTTTGCTTTTATACATGTTATATATCCCTTTAAATATTCTATCTGTAATAAAATGCTAAGAAGATCAAATGTTAACATTTATTTTTTTTAATTTTGTCAAATGAATGGAATAAAATAGAATCACTGTTGGTAATAGGGAAGGTGACAATGAAGCAGTAACATGCAGTGTCTATCTTGTGTATAATATATTTTGCTTTATTTCACTTTTAGGAGAGCAGATATTTTAAGAGCAGCAGTACTACAGTGACAGGGCAAACAACTCTAAGCTCTATGTCATGTAGTTTCACTTAAAAAGGTTAAAATTTGTTGACAGGGAGATCCCTTGGAAACAATTAAAACATAAACATGCAAGGCCATCGTTGAGGTGTTGCAATATGACAAATTTCAAAAATCTGGGCAAAAAGTGACTAAAGAACGTATAAGTTTTTTTAAATTTTAAAAAGATCAAAATTTGATTTTTCATCAAAGCTGGGGTAAAAATGTATCTTTTTGTCCCCGCATAAGTTTTAAAAGAAAAAAATCAGTTTTATATTCAAAAGCGATAAAAAAAAGTATTCATAATTTTACCCTGTATAGTTCTGTGTTGCTGGCAAAAATAAAAAAATAAACTCCAAAAACAGTTTTTTTTCGAGGGCCATAAATACCCAAAAATACTAAACTGGATACCTGGGTAAAATGCTAGATTGAGGTACCCCAAAGAATCCCTTTAAAATTGTTAAATGTTTTTTGGGATAAGAAAAATAAAAAAATTTTAAATGGCCCTTAAAATCTGAAAAATTTTTGACAAAAAAATGCAGACAATATTGCACAACTAGACTTGTAAAGATCATTCCTGTAAAGTTTGTATGAAATTGCACACAGTAGCTTCTGACATGTTTGGTGATGGATGGATGGATGGACAATTCCATACCATAATACCTTTAGGTTTTTTATTAAAAAAAGACATGAAAATTGTATACTTATGGTATTATTTAGTCTGTTCATGAAAGATAATGGTAAAGTACAACATACGTCCTTTGCATCGCCTTATTATTAAACACTAAATTTGCATGAACTAATGATATAAGGGTATGTAAACTTACCCATGTAAATTACCAAAAGGATAGGCTCAATTTTGACCCAGGAGTTATGATTTACAAGGGGTGTTCAAATATGAATGCAACTAGGCCAATATCTCACTTTTAAACATGTTCATTGAACGCCGCCTTTTCTTGTTGATCTTTGATATTTTACAAGAACTATGTACATGTATCGCATAGGTGGTTGTGTAAGCCCTCAATTGATACCATACATGTGTAAATCAGTTCAGTCTACTTTTGACAATAGCTGGATTAATGCTATCTACTTTAATATGTATACTAAAGCTAAAATGGTTGGGAAAAGATCTCCTTCCTCTGACCAAATCTGTCCTATATAGAGAACTAGCTGCTGTATTCTTGGTATACAGGCAAAAGACACATTTAATGTAACATGTTGTGTTTATGGGAACAATGAAATTTCTTTTTCATCTGTCACACGGTGGTGTAAGAAATTTAAAAGTCAGGTATTCAGTAAATGATGCACCTCATGCATATCATCCGAAAACTACAACTTCGTCTAAAATGGTTGAAAAAGTAAAGGATTTGATTGCTACTGATGCAAGATTTACAACTAGGTATATAGCTAGAGGTGTTGGTATCTCTGTAGGAGCCGCTCATACAATTCTCAGACCTGATTTAAAAATGAGAAGGTCATAAGTGCCAGATGGATACCCATCTCCTTACAAAAGAACAAAAACTTGCTTGGGTAAGAATCTCCAAACAATTGTTTAAACAGTTCCCTAGATACAACAATTGATCTTTTGACAAATATCATCACTGGCAATGAGACTTTTATGAGCCCAAGCAAAAGAGACATAATAAAATATGGGCAACCAAAGGGTGTCAAAGACATTGCATAGCAAACCGCACCATGAGCATCAAAAAAGTCATAAATTTTCTTTACCAATCAAGGTCCTGCTGTTCAAATTGCAGTACTAAAGGGTAAATCTGTAAATGCCAAATTTTACAAAGGCAAAGTCCTTCATAAATTAAAGAAATATTTCAAAAACAGCCGACCAGCAACATTACTGGTCTCTGTGGTGTCAGGTTGTTGCACGACAATGCTTCGTCCCACAAAGCGGTCATTGTACCAGAATATCTGCAACAGGAAAAGGTTGTCAAGCATCCTCAACCTCTTTATTCGCCTGATCTTGCCCCTTGTGGCTTTTTTCTATTTCTGAGGCTAAAAAACACCTTGCTGGAAGAAAATATATAACGCAATATTCGGCTTTATTCCAGACAGTGTCTTCACACTTACCTCGAAAAGATTATGAAAACACCTTTAAAAATTAAATTAAAAGACTAAAACTTTGGCATTGTAGTTTCTGAGATTCTTACTCAGTTTACAGTACAAGTCATATTATAACAAAAGTGACACAGAGGCAATGCTATTTTTTGCGCTGAGGAGCATGATTAATACAACTTTTGTAGAGATCCATTAAGCAATGCTACATGCTAAATATCTAAACTGTGGGACATGTAGTTTCAAATAGAAATATTTAAATGCACTTTCCCATATACCTTGTATGTCTATGCAAACTAAGTGACCCTCAGAGTATTCGGTATGTTAACAAGAAATAAAATATATAAAGATTCATCATAAAATAAATAAACACACAACAGAATCATTCTTTAAACTTAAATTTTATTAGTTTCATCATGAACATTGTACAAAAATATCAAGAAATCAATATAAAAATATATCTTATAAATGAATGAATCTTACATACTTCTAATTTGTTTAAAATAATGCCAACAAAAATCTCAAAAGAAACACACATGCATTGATATAATATACATTATAGTATATACATTAATTTCAATATGGACTATCTTCATAAAATTTATATATACATGTATGGCAAGGGAGTAATATGTTAAAACAGGTCTTGTATTCACATTAAAGGAACTCCACTGAGGTCCAAATGCATAAAAATATAAAATCTGAAATTCTTACATAGACCAACTTAGACTTAAACAGGAAGCTATGTAAAGGATTAATGAGAAATAAATTGAAAATCTTATTCTGTGCTATTCTTCGCCCAATTTGAGTAAAAAGCGTTGCAATGTTTTTCAATTTTGGGTCATTTTCCACAAATTATGGAAAAACAAAGTGGACAAATGATCTGAAATTTTGCACACAAGTTATTGATTTAGATCTACATCAAATGGAACACTTATCTCGAAAAAATTATTTATCAGTCCTGTCATGTCAAAAAACCTCAGTAGAGTCCCTTTAACACTTATTTTTCAGACACAATTTAATTGACACATAAATTTAATTTTAGTTCACCTTACATACTGTTCATACATCAAGTGGATATTATCTTTTGAGGTAAATAATCAGATATGAGATTTTGGTCAAGTACCATGCACAAGTTGTGTATATTACAACATAATCTGATTAAAATTAGTCCTAAAAAACGCTACTTACTACTACGCATTAGGATCTGGCTATCACCAATAGGTTGTCACCTCCCTGTGATTTTTTAAACGGCTAATCATCGAAACAATCTTGAAAGCTATGCTGTTTCTAATTTTAACTGCTGGATAACCTGAATACTGAGTAGATAATTTTCATGGTTTCCAGAACAAACATGGTGTTGTCCATATAGCCGGCAAGTAAACTGGCAAAACAATCTTGCCAATTAAAATTGAGTCTATTATTTCCAGTTTATTTGTTTAAAATTATTTCAAACATTTTTTTTCTTACAAAAATCAACAATTTATTTTACTTCCACAGACAAAAATATTTCTTTACTTTGTCAAGTGCCTATCTGTACACAACGGTCCGATTGCATGGCTAAAAATAGCTTTCTCGGGAAATCTAAATCACAATGAAGGTGAAACATATACAGTGGTAATCAGATCTACATGTAAGAAATAAGTAGATCTGAACTTTAGTCAGTTTGAATTGTTATCAATACCATATTATTATTACAGTATCACCTCTGCAGAGCAACTCAATTTATGAGACAAATGAGCCGTGTCATGACAAAACCAACATAATGCGTTTGCGACCAGCATGGATCCAGACCAGCCTGCGCATCCGCGCAGTCTGATCAGGATCCATGCTGTTCGCTTACCAACCCTATTACAAAACTGATAGCGAACAGCATGGATCCTGATCAGACTGCGCGGATAAGAGGCATTGCTCTATAGAGGTAAAGGGTAGAAATAATTTGGTTGTTGTACAGAGGTAATTGCTCTATAGAGGTAAAGGGTAGAAATAATTTGAGCCGCGTCATGACAAAACCAACATAATGCGTTTGCGACCAGCATGGATCCAGACCAGCCTGCGCATCCGCGCAGTCTGATCAGGATCCATGCTGTTAGCTATCAAATCCATGCTGGTCGCAAACACATTATGTTGGTTTTGTCATGACGCGGCTCATTTGGTTGTTGTACAGAGGTAATTGCTCAACAGAGGTTTCATGTATTATCATTATTTGATGTTTTCTCTTTTAAGTGTCAAGCAGTGATCCATTTGAACAGTGATCCATTTGAAAAGAGAACCAGTTAAACAGTTAACCAGTTGAACAGTGAACCAGCAGGATTATGTCATATACCTGTTAGTTAAAAATTACTCAACAGTAATGTACGACACTATTTTACAGTTTATAACCGTAGATACATTTAAAAGAGGGGAAAAAAAACACCTTGTAAAGATGATATAAGTTGTAATTGGAAGGTAAAACAATACACTGGTGTCAATGATTTTACAAATGTGTTGTAGTACAGTAACAAACATGTGTTAAGACAGCAATAGCAAGCGAAAACAAGAGCTGTCGGTAGGACAGCAACGCTCGACTATTCTTAGTGCTTGATAGTAAAAAAAAAATGCTTGATACAATTACCTCCTCCTGTTTACAGGTTGGGGTAATGATGGTGAACAAGTGTGCAAAGTTTCAAAGCCATATGTCAATGGACTTTGAAAATATTTGAACTATTACAAAAACTTTAACCTAAATTCTAAGTCGAAAAAGGAGCATAATTCTGTCAAAATGCTTGATACAGTTACCTCCTCCTGTTTACAGGTTGGGGTAATGATGATGAACAAGTGTGCAAAGTTTCAAAGCCATATGTCAATAGACTTTGAAAATATTTGAACTATTACAAAAACTTAACGTAAATTCTAAGTCGAAAAAGGGGCATAATTCTGTCAAAATGCTTGATACAGTTACCTCCTCCTGTATACAGGTTGGGGTAATGATGGTGAACAAGTGTGCAAAGTTTCAAAGCCATATGTCAATGGACTTTGAAAATATTTGAACTATTACAAAAACTTTAACATAAGTGGTTACGCCGACGCAGACGCCGACGCTCAGGTGACTACAATAGCTCTACTTATTCTTATCGAATAGTCAAGCTAAAAAGTGATATCTAAACAAAAAATATCAAAACCCAATGTTGACCTAGTTAATAAAATTATAATGAAATATGCTAGAAATAAAATATATTTTACTTAAAGCAGCCTCAGCCTTTTTAAAGGTTAAATATGTTATTTTTAGATAAATCGTTTCATATAATTGTCAAATCAAAGGAATTAAGGTAGAAAATGAAATCTGCCAATGATTAATTACACAAACAATAACAAAACCCCTCGATAACTCTAATTTATCGGTCTGCTCTCTATATTTAAATAAGTAATGCAGACAATTTTTTCCCTGATCATCTATATTTAGAAAATTTTCCCCAACGTAAAAAAGTTTTTAAAACGCTGTTTTGAAGAAGGCTTAACAGTAATATGATTCACTTTTCCAAGACAAAATTACTGATATATTTAGTTTGAAACAACACAGAATTGTTTTTTCAACAGAAAATAAAAGCTGGAGGCCACTTAAGTCATCTTGACATCAAAACCATTTTTATTTCAATATGTTAAGGCTTGAATCAGAACAATCATCAGTAATTTGTCATGCATACATAACATTTATATAATAAAATATTGTTTAAACCAAAAGGCATACCTAAAATAAGTATAGCAATGCATGTTTCTATTAATACACGCCTACTTTGCTTTAACATGTCCATACAAAATCTGTTCAATCAATTGCAACAAGAATGCATTTGAGGAGCATGGCTAACAAAAATCTGTTTTATATATTTATATCTCTTAACAATGCTTTAAACAATAAAGTATTAATATCTAGACGTAGACAAATTTATAGATTTACTTTCATATCAGCATTCAATTTTTTAGAAGCATTTCAAACGAAGATCTCTAAGCATTTCTAAGAAACTATTCAACATGTATACAGCTTAAATAACAATGATTAACTAAACTTCTTATCCTACTTATTCATACAGTGTACATGTATATACAAGCATGTATATATAGTAAATACAACCAACCACTCATTGTTTAGTGGACATATTTCCTTCTGTGTGACAATTACAAGGAAGATATTGCACATCATAATCTACAATCAAAATACAACAAAGATTTGTAAAACTAGGAAAGGGAAATAACTATATATAAATAAGGTCATCTTCTCTGACTCATCTTAAACCTTTTACCTGCTGGAATCGGAACTGATTCACCTTTGCTGCCAGTATAGAGCCAGGCCAGTCAGATGCAGTGCATGCAGTCTGACCAGGCTCTATACTGTTGGTAGCTCAATTTTTGTACTTTGATCTTGAAATCCCTTAAATGTTGAATGGAATGCTCCAAATTCAAAGGTGGGTTAATCCATTTCACAAATCCAGCAAGTTATGGGTTATAAAGGGGGGAGGAGAGAAAATGAATAAAATGTTGGTTAATCTAATTGGTAGAGCTACATGGTCCAAGTGATGAGATCCTGTAATGTTGATAAAATTACTTACTTACACTATGACAAGTTAAACTTAAAATCACTATACATTTTTGTATAATGTATTACCTCATGTAAATTAAAAACAAATAAATATTTTCACTCTTACCCTTTTGGAACCAAAAGAAATTAGCTTTTGTAACCAGTTTACAGCCAGGCCGGTCTGCAAATCTGACCAGGCTTCATACTGTTAGTAGTTCAAATTTCGTATTTTGATACTGAAATGCCTTTAACTCAAGGTGGACTGTTTTTAATTCAAAATGCACAAATTTAGGGCTGAAAAAGTATACAAGTACAGTCATGCAGATTTACATAAAATATTTGAAAAGAAAAAAAAACAACCCTAAACTATAACGGCATTTTAGATAATATGGAATGTTTTATGGACCAACAATTTTAAGCATCAAGTTGAACATCAAACAAGAGCTGTCAATAGGGCAGTGTGCTTGACTATTCTCAGTGCTTGATAGGAAAACAAGAGCCTCGATAATAAAGAATTTTAAAGTTCAAAAAGGGACTATATTCTGTAAAAATCCATGTTAAACTGTATGGGCCTTCGATAGTGGCCTTCAAATAAACGTGTGAAGTTTTAACCCATTCTCTTCAGTTTTTTTTGAGATACCATGCAAAGACTTAACCAAAGTATGATGCCAACCCCTGGGTGAGTACAATAGTTCTCTCTCCCTAGTCTTTGAAATAGTGGAGATAATTTTTCCTTTTTTGACAATGCTGTATATATTTATCAACAAGAATAAAATGTAAAGGGAATGGCTTGTTATGAGAGATGCCTGAGGGTAAACCATAAGAAATAAGTGGGGACAGGTATGGGTAGGAGGAGGTAAAGACATTTTAAGCATATGAAATGATCTGAAGGACAACTTGTAAGTTACCAGATCTTTCTAATGTTTACAAATATCACAGATAAAACATTATGGCTGAGGTCATTATCACACCAATATTCTAGAATACTGTATTGTTTCCATTTAATGCCCCCCCCCCCCAATCTAATAAGTGTCCCCTCACTCTCACATTTTGTAGAAGACTTATAGATTTATCATCTATAATGAAAAAGCAATCAAAAACATCCAAATACATTTTTGTATTAATGACACTCCAGTAATGAAAAATCATTAAAAAAAAAATTATAATTGAATTGTATCTTTATTAACGGTATAATTAGCCCCCCCCCCCCCCCCCAAAAAAAAAAAAAAATGCAAGCCCCAGGGGCGATAAATAGAAACAATAAGGTATACTGCCCTCCAATTTCAACATCATCAGAGAATGTTACAATGGTATATAATTCCTTACATAGTTGTGAAAAATTTAGTTAAAACAAATATTTCATGCTAGTTTATTTCAACATTCCCTGAATTTGAAGGCACATTATGTATTAGTATTGCATACTCATTTTATGACTATTGCTCACCATGCTTACGTTTATTTTACAAGTAAATAAATCATTGTACTATCAGCAAGTAGGCTTGTTGACATAATCATTTGGCCTATCAAATGCCAGATTATTTTTAGACTGATCTTACTTAACTTTGTTATACAAGTTCTCAAATTGACTATTTCGTTAAATATAATTCTTAAAAAATTCTTAAGAAATACTATCCTTGACATTGCGGAACAAAATATCATTTTAAACATAGAATTTTATATTTACCATTATCCATTAATCAGTTGATAACAATGTATCATACTATTATCTTTGCTTCTTATATATTTTAATAATAACATCTTCCAAAAGGCTTATGTAATATTGGATAAAAAAAGCTGTGACAACATTTGTTTTGATTATTTAGATTACTAACACTCTGTTTAACCCTCTTACCTACAGGAAAGAAAACTATTAAGTAATTGCCACCAGTATACAACCAGGCCAACCTGCACATCCGCATAGTCTGACCTGGCTCTATACTGCTGGCGCATCTAGCTTAATATTGAAATCCCTTAAACATTAAATGAACTGTTCCAAATTTAGAACAGGGCAAATCCATTAAACAAATTCAGCAGGATACGGGGTTAACAATTGTTACATAATTTTATTCATCATCGGCGACACGTTGATATCCACTTCCCTGTATGTCCTTCAGCTGCTTGTCTGATTTAGCATTTCTCCTCTTAATACATGTAAATATCCCGCCAAAAATGATAATTACCGCCGGTAAACCAAGTCCGGCGGAGATAACGATAATAACTAACGTAGAAACTGTATCCATGGGTGGTGTCCCATAGCCCACTGAACCGGACCTGGAAAATCATAGAAGTTCATTTTTGAGAAATAATATTTTGCTTTTCTATCTTTAATAACAGACTTATTTCAATAAAAGAAAACATTTACATGTGATTCTATAAATAAACCTAGAACATAAACATAGAGTTGACTTTGCTACCATGTTGATGTGTAAGAAATGTATTTTTACAATGTCTCCTGTTTTAATTTGAATTTTCACAATCAATAGTTTCTTAAAGCTGCATGCCTCCAGATGAGCCTAAATATTTCAAGAAAATCAAACTTTAGAAAAAATATACTAGGAATTTAATAAAGTAAGAAGATTCAAAATTCAAGTAATAAACTACAAGTTATATGCCTCTAATGACTGATTTTGCAGTATTTATAACCATTTTTTCACTGTGTGACTGACGCAGTAAGGGCTATTTGTACATAATCTGACCTATTTTTGGTAAATTTTATAGATTAAGTGCTGTTTGCAATATGTAAATTACTTTCTTGGTGTACTTGACAGAGTTTTACTTTAATGCAAAACTTCATAAATCAAGTTCCATTTATTCTTGTTTTGTTTTTCTTTTCTGAAAATCTGCACAACATTTCTAACTTGAGTAAATGCTAAAGCTTTTTATAGTATTTGCTCTCTGAATTCACTCCTTTTCCCTAAGTTCATACCCATTTAAAAGCATGTCTTTATTTGACATTTAATGATAAATTAAATTGAATGCTTTGGTTGAAATCAGAATTATTTTATTTCATGAGAAATAATTATCAAATTTTCATTTAATATGCTTTTATTGCCAAATTCTGTAGAAGTTTGAGAGAACATTGTCGTTATATTTTACATTGATTATTGAATAATCTATCTCTAAACTATTTAGAGTATTTCATAATATAATAAATAAAATCAGATACTTTTTCATCTTTACATTCCTTGTCCCGGAAATTCCCTGTAAGTGAATTATGAGATACAATATTCTAGATGAAAATATTATGATGAGGGTCCAAATTCAGAATTTATGCTTGTAATAAAATACCAAAATAATGTGTAGATTCTCAATTCAACTTCCATAAAATATTTTTTTTTTTTTTAATATTCATTAGGTCTATTTACTCAGAATAATTTATTAGTTTAGAATAATGCACCAAAATATCATGTACATGTATTAATGTAAATTGGTGTATAGGGGAAGGTCTGTAATACAATAATTATTAATTAATTATCTTGATAGTATCAGACAAAATAACAAACCATGATAGAATTATCTCTGAATGTTGTTTGAAGTTGTGAGATACAAGATCCGATAGCACATGATATTCATATAGCAGATCATAAAATATTCTAGAACAGAATGTTATTATACATGTATATCATTTTTAAATGTTCATACTGAATCATTTAGAACTAAAAGGCTATTTGCAATATAACCCTCGCCTAGTGGCTCGGGTTATATTTACAAATAGCTGTTTATATAAGGCCATATAACCTGTCAACAATCTTTATAACTAATATTATTACCAGGAATATGTATCATATATAAGATTTAATATAACCAGACACAGCATTATATTCATGACAAGCATTTATCATAGTATTGCAAGCAATCCATAAGTCCCCTACCGGTTAGAACCCCATCAACATTCTGAAGGGCCATTGGCCATTCACTAATGTTTCCATTTTTCTCTATTTTAAGTAAATTTGTTGGAAAAGTTCTTTAAAAGTGATCACAGGAAACAGTTTTTATGAACAGACAGACAGACGGACTGAAGGACACTCTAAAGTTAATATTTGAAACATCCCTGTTACCAAAATATAACATTTTTAAAAGCAAAATTCTTAAAGAGGTGATAACTCTTGAATTAAAGATGCAATTTCATAAACATTTTCAGCTCTTTTTGACTAATCACAAATATTGTGATATTTGCCATGTTTTAAGCCTATTTGTTGCCAAGGCAACAGATATTTTTTCAAAATAGGAAGAACAGATAAAACATGCATAATCTCAAGACTGCTATCTACCCATATGTCAAGTTTCATAAAAATATTTCCAGTACTTTTTGAGTTATCACTGGATTCAGTTTATGTGTATAAAATTTGCCATATTTTCAGTCTATGTGTTGCCATAGCAACCAGAATTTTCAACATAGGAAGAAAAGAAAAAGACGTGCATAAACTCAAGACTGCTATCTACCCATATGTCAAGTTTCATAAAAATATTTCCAGTACTTTTTGCGTTATCACTGGATCCAGTTTATGTGTAAAAATTGCCATATTTTCAGCCTATTTGTTGCCATAGCAACCAGAATTTTCAAAATAGGAAGAAAAGAAAAAGACGTGCATAATCTTAAGACTGCCATCTACCCATATGTCAAGTTTCATAAAAATATTTCCAGTACTTTTTGCGTTATCACTGGATCCAGTTTATGTGTAAAATTTGCCATATTTTCAGCCTATTTGTTGCCATAGCAACCAGAATTTTCAACATAGGAAGAAAAGAAAAAGACGTGCATAATCTCCATACTGCCATCTATCCATATACCAAGTTTCATAAAAATATTTTCAGTACTTTTCAAGTTATCGCGGGATCCAGTTTTGTGGACGGACGGACTGACGGACATACTTAGCAGACGTGTTTGTGGGGTTATTCCTTTGATCTCTTAACCCCACAAGAGCAAATTTTTTTAACCCCATAAGAGCATTTTTAACCACATAATACATGTCTCTACGGAATGAACCCCATACAGAGTGCCTGTACATAAACCTAAACCTCATAATGTAGCTCTCGTCTGCTCGGACTGACAGACGGACGGACAGACGGACGGAGGGTAAACCTCAAGTCCCCTCCGGTAAACCGGTAGGGGACTAATAATACTGCATGCTTTAACATCATATGTCACTGGATAACTGTAACGCATATAAATTATAATCTATATACAAGGCTGCAGTTGATTTATGAAGTAATAACATATTTTCTTCTCAAATAAAAAAGTTTGCAGTATTATAAGTTCATTATAAAGATTTTTGACAAGTTATTTGGCCATATATAAATGGTTATTTATGATATAACCCTTGCCTAATGACTCAGGTTATATATACAAACAACTGTTTACATAGGTTCATATAACCTGTCAAAGATCTTTATAGCTAATTATATAACAAGGAACAACATTATATCATGATATTTAAGATTCAATATCAATTTTTTTTTGTTTTGTATATAAGATCAAATAATATTTTACTCGTAAACACCAGTTCTTACATTTTCAAGAGTGGCAAAGCCATAGATGAAAATATTACATATGGTGTTCACTCTGTGAAATATATTTCAGTCTTACATGCAAAATGAACAAATATTCTCTATGCATCAGATATAGTTGTGACTTGATGAATATTACATATGAATTAGTGTATCATCTATCTTTTTGTTCAAGGAACACCATGAAATAACCATTCATAATCTCCATCTTGTTCTCTATCCATCATCTAAGTTCCATCAAATATTCTGTACTCTAACTTAAAGCAGGATTTTGTCTTTTTTTCTGTGATTGTTGCCATTGGAACAAATAATGTTGATAAAGTAACAAAATAAGCGAGTTGTTTTTAAAGCTGTTGGTTAAAAGAGTATAATAGACAGATGGTGGGTAAACAATAGCATATTCTAATTACAGTCATGAATGAAAAATTGTTTAAAGCCAAGACATTCAAAAGTGGAGAAAGCTGTGTGCACATTTCATCAGCTTTAAGACTTATATCAAGAAAATGTAAATGCAATATTTTGTGTATAAACTGGTACTATAAATAAAATTACCAAGTCAAAACTTGAGTTTTGTTATATCCCCCATCTTTAGCCAATCCAAAGCTTATGTTTGCAGCTCTACTCATCAGGTCTGTTATCCCATTACCATAGTAACCATATGCCAAACTGTTATGAAGTACTTCTATATTGTCTTCTGTCAAAAGTTGTAACCCATAATGCTTCATTCCTGTAGCTTTATCACGAGATCTTGAAAATGACTGGTAACAGACAGGCTTCCACTGGAGGAATCCTGTATCCCCAGTTTTCTTTGACAGCCAATTAAATATCTGAAAACAATTATAGGAACAAGTGCTTGTCAAGTATGCAGAAACAATAATAAATGGTTTAATACTTTGATAAATTATAAAGTTTGAATAATTTTGAAATAAAATACAAAACAATCAATTTTACTTTTTAAGTCAAATAGTGTGATATAGTGCTGTCATTGAGTGTGTCTAATACTCTGTAATTTTTTTAAAAAGAGGGCAAAGGTGCCTCTTTTATTACTGCTAACCTATGATGAGTGAATACACAACCTGATTAAAGTTCAGATCTTCTTATTTCTTCCATGTAAATCTGATGACAACCGTATATTTTTTGCCTTCTTTATAATCCGAATTTCCCGAGAAAGCTATTTTTAGCCATGCAATCCAACCAGTTTCAGGGCAGATGTTGTAACAATTGAGGTCAGCAGCAATAACAGGAAATAAATGGATGGATGGCAACGGACAATAATCAACTCTTAACAGCTAAGATAAGCACACAGGCAAGAATTCAAATGTAAATGGGTATAAAGATATGTGTAAAACTAATTTGTAGTGAAACCATAATTTTTCAATTGAAAAAGTAGGAAAGGTTTCCAATAAAAGTTACAAAATTACATTATATAAATTAAATGTATGGCATTTTTATTTTACATCTCTGTAACATTGTGAGAAATTATAATAATATCGGACATAATTGGGCGATGCCTTGTGTACTACTGTACTTATTATTTCCATAAATAGTAATGAGAATGAAAAGGACTCAGAATCACTGACATATTTTACAGGTATTGATTGTTGCATCTTTACTTAAAAGTTCACATATCAATCAAAGTTAAGTAAATCATCAAAGGCAATAACTTGTAGGTCAAGCTTTCATGTTTATAGGTGGCAGTATAATGGCAAATTAGCACAAGATCTGATTCACATGATACCAACAGAGACATGGTACTTATGGGGAGTACTATAACAATAGACGTTATCCGGAACTCGGTAAATGTTGGTTTTTCCCAGCTTATCTGTAGGTACAAACTAACTTTTACAGTTATAGCTATACGGTGCACTACCCGTCACAATACATTTAGTCAACCTGTTTCGCTTACTTTCTAAGCTGTAACTGTAAAAGTTTGTTTGTACCTACGTTATTAGCTGGAAAAAACCAAAATATTCTTAATTCCAGAGATATTCTATTACAAGAAAACTTACTGTAAAGACACCAGGAGTATATTCATCATCAATAGACCTGGAGTTATCAACAAACATAGGATCCTTTGACCCACCCACCATAACCATCTCAACACCAAATCTTGACTTGGATAAGTTTGTCCATAGGTGATCTATATTTAGATCAAACTGTGTGATATTTTCAGAGTACTGTAGATGAGGTAATTGTGATTCACGTCCAGAATTACTATATGCGCTCAACTGAAAAAAAGATAAATATGTGAATTAACAGGGTTTCAAGAAATAATGAAACAAACAGATCAAAGAATTTACAAAAGGAAGAATATCATAAAAATGTTTATAATCTGGTTTATAGATTTCTGTACAATTCTTTTTTGTCTATCAATAAGTTTTAAAGCAGACTTGAACTAAATACAGTTTATGCCATAAAACACACAAACTTCTCTAGTTACAAATGTCATAATGAACATTTTAAAGAAACAAACTTATTCTTTTTACCTTATAAAAGAACAAATTGGTTATAACACAAATGTAGAGTCAATGTGTAAATAGAAGTTGACTGATCTTATAAATGGTTTCTTGCATCTTGCACTACTACTACATGTAAACATGAATATTGCCATTTTTACAATGGCACTAAGGTGTATATATCACGTCATCAAATAACTTAAACACCCCAGTAACTTAGCCCTTAACATGCTGAATTTCAGACATTAACTTGTCGGGCCTCCATTTCATTGACCTGTCCAGTTTCAATTTTGGACGTTTCAAGATGAAAACTAAAAGCTTATCAGCCAACATTAAAGAGTCTGGTTAACCTGCAAGGTATCACCTTAGTGCAGTAACTGAATAAGTTCTTCTAAATTTAATAGGAGTTAATCAGTTAAGGTGACCAATTTAGGGTTCATAATGGTGGCAAAGGTAACAATACAGTATAAGAACTAAAACTAGTTTTCCGTATTATTATTATTAATTATAACCTGGATAGAGAAAGTTCCGTTGTACTCCCATAAATCTGATGGATGATGACTAGATGCTTGCATCTTGAGAGAATTCCCTTTAACGTCAGAGACGGCTGAAATATTGTCCCATGTAAACGTGTTAAGGTCGTAGATATTCCATCCCGTTGACGAGGCGCTGTAATGGGACATGTCTGCTTTATCGTCTGTGTCATCATAATCTATCAGCTAAAAATACATTAATATGTTTACAAATAAAATTGAAAAAATACTGATAATTAAATGAATTTACACGCTTCTTTCAAAAGAAAACAAACAAATACTGCATTTATATCTAATAGATAAGCTGTGACATGCATGTGATAATCAGCAGGATAACATACATTTAGAAGACATAATACAATATAATACAATACAAATACTTTATTTCGCTTTAAGGCCTCCGGCCCATGCAAAAACATATATACAAAGAAACAATTTACACAAAATTATAGCATGTGCACAATGTTTAAACATATACTATTTATATTTAACTGAAAATGACTGTAAAGCATAAAAAGTTTTCTGGGAGTTTCTTAATTATCATTGTGTATCAAAGACATATTAATTGTTTAACTTCCTTTTTTCAAAAGCGTAATACAAAAATGTTGCTGTACCCTTTATAAGATCATCATTTTTTGTAGACATTAATATATTAAATTTGTTTCGGGTTGGTGCATTTAGGTACTTAATGGGTAAAGATAAATCATTTCTATTATAGTTTCTACTTTCACAAAAAAAACAACAATAAAATACTTTGGATTCTTTCATGTGAGGAAACTATCAAGGTAGCTTAAAGATGGTTGACCATATAAAGCTTGATTTTACGCTATCAGGTTAAGCTAAATTAGCTATGTATTTCTAAAGATGAAAAGAATGGTAGCGGGCGAGCACATGTCAAGTCTCACGATTGACCAAGCCGGCCAGTAAATAACAGAAATTATCTGGTTCTCAATAAGTTAATTTATTTAAGGGGTGAATAACAATAAATAGAATTATCCTGATGAAGAACCAGATAGGTTCAAAACCGGTAGATCTTTATTAAAATTTTGTTCACATTTATCCCGTGTTGACATGTGGTTTCTTTGTATTCTTCCTTTTTATCTTATTAATAAAATTAGAAAAATACCTAACAAATATTTAACTATTTAACAGTATCTTAACTTCCTAAGCTATCAGACCTCGACAATAATAAAGTGTAAGAATTTAGTAAAATTTCGTAAAGTTTTCTTCCTTTAAATATTTCCTATTGAAATATTTACTTAATCGACAAAAAATTGTGCCAGAAAGGTTGCAATCTTTATCAAATAATCTTCCCTATTTTTACAAATATCCTTGTAAATGATTATTTTTATACATGATAATGCTATGACAAAAAAAAACAATAAACTAAACAGGAAACAAATGAGAAAAAAATGAAGTACCTTGGTGAATAGAAGTGTATATGTATAATGAACATCGGTCTCTGGGGTCAGCGTTACAGAGTTGGCTTTTTCTGTTTGATTACCAGACAGAAGCTTGTCCCAGTTCACAGACAATTTAACATCTACAGATGTATAGGCAACAAACACTGATGGTACACCTACAAACATATAGAAATATTTTTTTATTATAAAGCTAAGATTTTTCAATTTTTTTTTCAAACTTATGTAATATATAAAGATTCCAAATCTAAAATTATGTAAAATATTGCCCATTTTTTCAAATTTTCATTGAACACCATAATGACCCTCTTATCACTTACCTAAATTAAGACTGCAATCGTGCTCATATAAGAGCAAGTAGATCTGTATAATGATTAGATGAATGAAATTTTCCTATGGTTTAAACCAGTGATTTAAGATTTTACCCAGGGAGTCTGATACTCTTATTCGATCTTGACATCAACAGCATAAACAATAGCACTACAGTAATGACAACTTATTTCAAAATATGGCCTTTAACATATTTACAAGTCATCTTTCAAGTATATCCTCTGTAGAGAAATTACCTCTTTACAACAACATCATTTCTTCCAATAGTAAAGATTTCTACTATATTAAACCTTTGCAAAACAACACCTCTAGGCAACAACAAAAACATTGTCTTCCAAAGGGTGATACTCCGCAGATGTTAATACTGTAAGTAATGAATTCTCACAAATAAGTTGATTCTGATATATTTAATCTAGGAAGACAGTAATCTGTATCCCAGATTTAATACGAGATTATTACTTTTCATTTGGAACTTTAATTAAGGCATAAGTAAATCAGATGGGATGGCCTTTTTAAAAGGACTCTACTAGTGGCAAAGGCCAGTCAATTTCTTTTACAGGATGTTAATGGTTAAACCTGAGAACTGCATGACATTTGTGCACTACTGACCTATAGTTGTAACAACATAATGTAAAACATCATTCCCACCAACAGCTGTCACATGACCTAAACTGCCACAAACAGAGCTATTAGTCACACAGCCTTGTTGAACATCAGTTGACACCTGTAAACATAATAAAAAATGTATTAAAAAAATTCAAATGAGGGATTTAAATATAATTTTTTTCCTTATCTCTGGTGCACAAAGTATTTTTAGAGTGCATCTATCTTTTTATCACCCGATAAACAATATATAAATTATACTAAATATATTCTACACAAAAATGAAAATGAAGCCATAAATATTACAAGTAAATTTACCTTAAATATGTTGAAATTATTAATTTAACCTCTTCTTACACACTTAAAACAATTGTAGCTACTATCAGTTTTCATGAAATTTATTACTTTGCAGTGAGGGTATAACATGTCTGCCAAAGAAATAGTTTGCAGTAAAAATTTTAAAATCCTGTGTATGAGTTAATTGTAGGTGTCAGTTGATAACTTTTAAACATAAATAACAATAAAATTTATATTCTATTATTTTTTAGAAGAAATGGAAGATATTTAAAGATAATCAGTCAAAACTATTGGTTGTGTTGCATAAAATTAAAAATGTCAGTTAAAATTAGATGTAATGGCTTCACAACAGGAAACAAGAGGGCCATGATGGCCCTGAAGTCGCTCACCTGTATAGAGGTCCCCCGGCAGGGCCAATTTTTTATTTGAACAAACTTGGTAGACACACATTAGAAGATGTTTCATGCTCTAAGCTCTAGTTTGTTGGGCTTTTTTAAAAGAAGAGTTTTTAAGATTTTACTATACACATATAGTTAAAATCAATGACACCCCTAGGGCAGGGCCAGTTTTGACCCCAGGGCTTTTATTTGAACAAACTTTGTAGACACTTACTAGAAGATGTTTCATGCTTAATATTTAAACTCTAGCTATTTGGGTTTTTTCAAAGAAGATTTTTAAGTTTTTGCAATTATACACATATAAGGAAAATCAATGTCCCCCGGGGCGGGGCCACTTTTGACCCCAAGGCTTTTATTTGAACAAACTTTGTAGACACTCACTAGAAGAAGTTTCATGCTTAATATCTAAACTCTAGCTATTTGGGTTTTTTCAAAGAGGATTTTTTACGTTTTTGCTATACACATATAAGGAAAATCAATGACCCCCGGGACGGGGCCAATTTTGACCCCAGGGCATTTATTTGAACAAACTTTGTAGACACTCACTAGAACATGTTTCATGCTTTAGTATCTCAACTCTAGCTCTTTGGGTTCTTTAAAAGAAGATTTTTAAATTTTTGCTATACACATACAGTACAGCTCGCGCGGAATGTACATTTTTTATGCTTCCTCCGCGATCGACGTTTAAGCAAACTCCTTAATCCACCGCGTTTTTCTAAGCGTAATCGCGGAGAAACAACCTGGACCACAATCGCGGAGTTTTAGAGAGTGTAAAGGTATTACCGCGGAGATTCTCCAAGAAAATCACGATTTATAAGTTGATATTATATTTTAAAATTATCCCTTTTCATTAAAGTAATTTTCATTTTTCATTAAAGAATCTTAATTGTTATTTATTTTTGTTTTGAAATTTGTAGGTCCACTTGATTAATCGATCGTATAGTATTTCTTGTGAACAATCTTCTTGAACACCGTACCGCTGAATCATGTCTACATCGTATTTTGTTTTTATACTTTATTTGGCATTTTTTGTTTCTGTTTTTAGGACAAGGATACTGTAGGTGTATATAAGTTTTTTTATGTTTTGAAACGCATTGGAAATGTTGGCCTATGTTGGAAATAGGCCTCGGAGCTAGATATACATGTACTGTAGATATATCCGTTATTTCAATCACCGTAAATGCAGAGATTTTTATTACAGATAGCTCTGTGGTAAATGTGTCAACATGAAAAACTATAACAACCCTATTTATATTTTGTAAAGAAATAAGATCAACAGTTTTGAAAATTTGACGTGTACATGTAATACTACACCTATATTGTTTTATATTTTACATGCATGTTTTTTTTAAAATACGTCGGTCTCCATGCTTTGCTCATGACTTCACATATTTAATTTGGTCAACAACACAAATTATAAAGTTTCTTTTTATTTAAGTTTTTAAAGTTTATAAGACATTGGTTACCTGTTTATATACATGTAGTTCTTGACCTATACGTTTCCCAACGCGTACACGATGTCTATTTCAAATGTCCACAAATTTGTACAACAAAACTAGTACGTCCTCACTGATAATTTTATGTGTCAACAGCGAAAATTATAATGTCTTCACCTTTTACAATTCTCTATAATAATTTACGATAAAATATATCTGTGTTTTATACAGTTTCTCTTCTCAATATAAATGTATACACACTGGTGAAAAACTATACCGACTTCATTTTCAATAAATAAGATTTAACGTTCTTTTTTTCTCATTTAGTGTATAATGATATTGGTTTCAAAATACTTTTTATTCTATCAATCATTTATAATCATTAACGTTTTTTTTTTCAGCAAGATGACCATGCATGGAAGATTTCAAGAGTTTCCAGAGACGATGTGCCTTATCTAAATAACTTCTTACTTGAAGTATAACTAATACTAATAATATTTGTTCTACAAAGGTTGACAAATAAAAGAAGTGAACAAAGAATATTATGAATGTTATACTGTGTATCATTGTTCTTTGCCTCCCCCCCTTTTTTTTAAAGCCGGCAAACATACATGTACATGGATATGACGCTTTACAGAAGGTGGGTATGTAATCACATACGGAGACATTAAGAACTATCCAACAGTAAGTCTCCTCATGGTAGAGGAACATATTTATTCAATATTCAACATTTGCATAGATGATATATTTGGTAAGTGAACATTTTTTGAGTATGTTGTTTGACGTCAACGCCAATGACTGAGCGCCGTTTGCACATACATGTACTTATCTTTTTGCTCAGATGTGCACATGCTTGTCAAAAGTTGTTTGTTATCATTCTTTTTTTTTGTAATGAGGATACATTGTGCCTTTTGATAAGGACCATCAGACAAATCCTAAGTTTTATCATTCAGAAAGTCTGTCTTGACGTCTTCAAAGCTTACAGTACATATCTTCCCAAGATCGACGCAGCCTTAATCCGTGAAATTTCTCCACCGAACTTCATATAATATGTAGATAATCTCAATCCAAAAGTACAAGATTAAGGAAAAGAAAAGGGAAGAGAATGTGAAGTTGAACTCTTAAGAATACAACTCGCTTCTTTTTCTGAACTATTAAAACTGCTAAGGTCCTGAAATGAAAACAAATATAGAAATTATTATTATTACAAACACGAGTGTACAATCTATTTTCAAAGATGACTCGTTAGAAATAAAATGATGTGAAGAGACGATGGATCTAAAGATAAACATGTATATAAATGTATTGAATTTGATGATACACAAAAACAATTAGGCCTAACATTAAAACCGTACACAGTTACTACAAGAACAACAACAACAACAATCACTTTTATCTTCTGTTAACATGAATTGTTTGAAATAAATTCGTTGAAAGACAACGCATAATAGGTGTCTCATAAAATTATGAACAAGTCTGCATTCATCAAGTTTAAATAATATACATATGCATATGATATAATATACGCTCATCTCTATTATTATGTCATAGGTATAAATATAAACACGTGTGCAATGGTCCGGAATACCGGCCAGGTAACAGATAATATCCTTGCTGAAATCGAAAGTAGATCTACAACATACATTTACAAGAAACAATTTCTTTAATTTTGATCATTTTTATGAATTTTATGTGCACCAATTGAAAGAAAAGTCACGGAGAATCGCGGAGGACTGAAATACACAGTTTTTTAAGTAAAATACCGCCGCTTTCGGCGAATTTCTGTCTCCGCGACACCTCCGAAAATTGCGGAGTTTTACGGAGTTTCTCGGCGATTTTCCTCTCAAGTTCCGCGGAGGGAAAAGGAAATAAAGTTTCCTTTTAAAAGGAAAGGCTTGCACAGTTGTGCCTTCATCCCAACCCTTTAAAATTGTGTGTTTTTTTTGGTCTCAATTTATTATCACATTTTTTTTTAATTACGGTATTTGTATATCATAAAGGGTTTATTTAGTTGGATTTTTTTTTTTTGGAAAACCGAATATTTTTTGTCAAAACGATTTGAAATCTATTCTCTATTGTATAAAACTAATAAAAAAATGATCAATCGTAAAAATACTATATAACGTGATACTGAAGGAAAACAAGTGTGCACATTTCATTTCCCCTTTTTCGCATCGAAATCATTCCTTTGCTTTATAGACAAGTAAATGCACTAAAATACTTCGTTACGTGGTACCAATTAATAAGCATGTATCAACTATGTTACACGATCACAAATAGACGATATCAGCACCAAACTCCTCACAGCTGTTACGTCACGCTTTGCTACTTTAACTGTACAGATCAGGGGAAGTAACCGCTGCGAGGAGTGGGAAGGTTAATGATATGCATGGGCTATTTTTAGATTACCTCACCATTACGGTTTAAACCGATAAATCAAGTAAAAATAGAAATCCTATTTATATAAACAAACTGGGATTACCGAAGTAACTAAAATAGCTTAGATTTCCGTAATATTACTTCGTCTGATTCCGCAGTATGACGAAATCGCCCGAATTGTCACGATTGCAATCGGAACTACATCGTCTATTATCATTAATCCGAAGAGTGACGGAAAAGGCCGAAAAGTTGCGATTGGCACGATTGGAGCTGGTTTCCCGTTCAATCATGCACCAACAGATGTAAGCAGGAAACCACCTAACCGGAACAAGTTTTCCATATGAAATGGCTTGCAGCCGTGGCTGCAAGCCAAAAAGTACATTCCGCGCGAGCTGTACTGTATAAGGAAAATCAATGACCCCCAGGGCAGGGCCAATTTTGACCCAAGGGCTCTTATTTGAACAAACTTGGTAGACACCCATTAGAACATGCTTCATGCTAAATATCTTAGCTTTAGCTCTTTGGGTTCTTTAAAAGAAGTCTTTTTAAGGTATTACTATATGCATATAGGGGAAATCAATGACCCCCCAGGGCAGGGCCAATTTTGACCCCAGGGCTTTTATTTGAACAAACTTGGTAGACACTCACTAGAAGATGTTTCATGCCAAATATCTAAGCTCTAGCTCTTTGGGTTTTTTAAAAGAAGATATTTAAAGTTTTTTCTTTTGGTTGCCATGGCAACCAGAGTTCTGCATGGAATTAAATTCCGTGAACAAGTTTCAAAGGTGACCACCAAAGGAACATTCCTGTGAAGTTTGGAAGTTTGATGAAATTGGCTTAGCGGTTAATGAGGAGATGTCATTTAAAGTAAAAGTTACGGACAGACCCCAGACGGACGCCGGACGAAAAGCGATCACAAAAGCTCATCTTGTCACTTTGTGACAGGTGAGCTAAAAAAGTATTTGAAATGGGTCAAGTCTTTCACGCCAAATTAATCACAGACACTCAAGAGTTAGATTGTGTGACTTTGTGTCCCTTCCTTGCTCAGCCTTTGATAATTGTTAGTAACATTTAAACATGTGTGGGCCACCTTTTTCAGTCACAAAGTTAGTTTGAATCAATTTCCACCTTCATTAAAAAAACATCAATAAAAGAAAATCTGCTGACTCAAAAATGTAAACACTTATCCTTGGTATATTTAAAAGTCAATTAAAGCATTATAATTTACACTTCCTGTGATTTTCCGGAGTCAACTGACAGAACATAGAATTACCTTTCAGATGGAAAAACAATGTTTATTAAATTCATTATGATATCATAATTGACGTCTTAACTTCATCATAACATGAAAGTAGATTTTTGTCTTGTCCATGCAATATGGTACTATGGGCAATATCTCCCCTCAAAAGTGAGATTCTGACCCTGAAGAACAAACATATCTCAGAATCAAGCTTTGGCACGTCAATATATTTTGACTACCTGGGATGCATACTTTTAATTTTATGTATACTCAGTTCCTATGATATCACGGTATTTACATTTTCTTCAACTGCTAGTAAAAGCAACACACAATGATATTTTTCAAACTGGCACACTAAATTCATTTTCATCTGCCAATACAAATAATTTTGTGAATAATGAATGTATTTGTGGCAAGAAAACTATTTTATAAAACCTTCATATTTGACCACTTATTTCCTTAGTCAATTAAAATATGTTATAATCACGTATTCTGACATATCGTCTGTTCATTTAGTTTGAATTTTATAGCAAGTTAACTGTTGGAAGTTTTTCATAACTTAACTTGAAAGTTTTGACACATCTATCCTTCCATAATTGATTTTTTTGGGGATTACCATGATACCATAGTAGCCTCCTCTGAAATTAATCAAAATGGCCATTTAAAAATGTCATTTTAATTGGTTCTTTTGAAATAACTTTTTGACAAACAGTTCTGGAAAAGGTTCACTTAATAGATAGAAGAAAAATCTCATTCATGTATGATATTTATATTTGAATATTTCCGATAAACGTTAAGTACCGTGATATCATAGAAGTTAGAACCCCGGGCTACTAGTTGTGTAATAACTGACTGTGTATAGAGTAACTATGGTGTTTAGTGCCATATGATAGTGCACGAGTGCATCCCAGCTCAAAAAGCAAAATGATCAGGTGCTAAATTAGCTAATGGAAAAACCTGGAACTCTTTTTAAGACTAGATGGTAATGTGTTAAATTGCTTAAAAAATATTGACAGTGGCTATCAAGCTACTGCACTGGGGTACGTTACGATACCGAAATCAACTTGATTTCGGTAAAGTTACCGAAATCAACTTTTCATTACCGAAATCAACTCGTAAAAACCAACCTAGTTAAAATATTGCTATTATTTATTCATTATTTGATGAAAAATAGTGAAATAGACTTTCAGTTAAAAAATCTTTTGAAAATATTTTATTTTAATGATGTTATTAACAAAAATGTAATTATTGAGTTACTTCCCTTTGTTATAAACAACCCGTTATGTGTTTAGCATTACCGAAATCAGCTGTGAAGTTAAATTATGTATATAATAAGTACATAATAGATTAGATAACTCTAGTAGAGCTCTATTTTATAGACATATTTCTGTTTTTAAGTTTCAACCATATCTAAATATTATCAATGTTGAACGGTTTTGTAAAGATCTCACTAGGTTAAGAGTATCGTCTCATAGATTGCACATAGAATCAGGTAGATGGACTAAATCAAATAGTACACCTTTAAATGATAGAAAATGTTTTTCATGTAATGTCTTAGAAGACGAATACCATTTCATATTAGAATGCAATTTATATAATGATTTAAGAAAAAGTCTGATACCGCCACATTAGCATGTTATATATCTGCACGTGATTGTCGTGCATAACAATTTTCTAATCAAATCGTATTTTTAAAAAGCTATGATCGGACTATGATGGAAAAATAAAATACTCTGTAATATGAGTAAAAGATAATTATAAATTCTGTACATGTTTATGTTTTATGAAGAAAATATCCAACTTCAACCGGAAATTTATGATTTTCTTTTATAAATTTGAATACAGATATATAATTCGCCTGCTCTAAAAATGTTCCATAAAATTTAGTATAATGTATCAGGCAGTAAAATTGGAAATTGGAAAGTTTGTGTCTTTCTTTTATTGAACAGTTAAACTATATATTAACAAATCACTAACACATGTTATGGGGACTCTTTATTATAATATTTTTATATTTTAGTCATTTATTTAAATGTTTATTACGAAATAAACAGATGGTTCATTTTAATCTTTTATTAAATTGTATGTCAACTGTACATCCTGTCTTAATTACTTCACACCTTACTTAATACAGTAATACACAACATGTCATATCAAGCATATAGCACGTGTATGCTTGCTCCTTATTAGTAAAGGTGTTATAATGAATGGCTAATTGGCTACCGCTACATCTTTTTATTTTAATCAAATCATAATCACTGGATTTTTATTTTTTTGGTTTTACGTCACATCGACACAGTATAGGTCATATCTTGTATTTTGAAATCATTAAGAAACATCAAAGAGATGATACGCTGCTATGTTATCTGACTAAAGGGAAAATCTAAAAATTAAAAATAAGCGATATGAATTCATAGTTTAAAACTCACTCAAATACCTTTTTCATAGACTTCTGAAATTCATGCAAATTATTTAGGGGTTGTTCTCATCTTTGAAATGAAATCTGATTTGATTTCGGTAATGCAACACATTAATAACAAGGGAAGTAATCATGATATAATTTACATATCCGTCTATAACATCATCATTTTTATAATTAAATATTATTTTCCTTTGTTTCTGGTTCAGTTTGAATGATTTTATATTAATTAATTAAACAAGATCTATTAAAATGTTAATTTTAACTTTTACAAGTCGATTTCGGTATTGTAACATATATTTCGGTTCGTGACAAATCAGGGAATAATCTTGATATTTAGTTATTTGTTTCTAATTTCATTATTAATAATTATCTCGAACTGATTTTTTGCATGAAAGTCAAACTTAACCTATTGTAATATATTATAATGAAAAAATATAATAAAACGCTTAATTGTGATTTTATAAGTTGATTTCGGTAATGAAAAGTTGATTTCGGTTCGTGACAAATCAGGGAATAATCTTGATATTTAGTTATTTGTTTCTAATCTCATTATTAATATGGGGAAGTCAAAGACCAGGCCCGCGAAGCGGGTCCGGGCTTTGGCTTGCCCGGCTATAGACTACACGTGTATATTTAAAAGAAAATCAAATAAAAAACGTTTCAAAAATATATAGAATTCTATACCTATCAATGAAATTTTCAGTGTCAGTTCTACTCGGGCGCTGCCATTGACAATGTAACTCAATGATAAAAGGCGTGGTATTCCGATAACGGAACAAATCTCAACTTTTCGGATAAATAATAAACGTCGAGTGTTCCGAGTGAAAACGGAAGCGGTGCATGTAATACCGAATGACAATTTTAAAACGGAAAGAATGAAAGGAATTTTTTAACGACTTCCCCGTTCATAGGCTTTGCCTAATTTCATATTAATTATCTCGAACTGATTTTTTGCATGAAAGTCAAACTTAACCTATTGTAATATATTATAATGAAAAAAATATAATAAAACGCTTAATTGTGATTTTATAAGTTGATTTCGGTATCGTAACGTACCGACTGTACTGTAGTGTGAACCAGTAAGGCTACTGTGCTCTCAGTCTCATAACAAAATTTTAAATGATCATACAGATAAAGCATATAATCGACTTTGTAAAAATGTGCATGCAAACGATGAAATACCTTGCGGTCAGCAGAAACACTGGCAGAATACAAAATTGTTAGATAAAAACACAATTTCAAGGCAGCAGACATTTTGTCACTTCTTTAAAATCACATGACCGTTTTCACGTGATTTATAAATAGATAAGTAAATATCGAAACAACAAAACCGAGAAAAAACGGAAAAGTGTTTGACCAAAATGCGCAGCGGAAAGATTTTTTGGGGACAACGGGCAAAACATCGACATCATACCGCTGTAAAAGCAGGTATACGATGCATAGCTATACATATTAAATTTAAAGAGACAGCTATGAGATACAATGTAGGTGGCGCGATAGCTCAGTTGGTTAAACCACTGACTATCACTCCTGAGGTCCCGGGTTCGATCCTGGGTTACACCCTTGGGATTTTTCAGAGACACTTTCAGTGTTTCCCACCTACATAGAGGTGTACTGGTAAGAAATCCAGGAAATCCTCGCATGTATCAGTGCTATACACTGGGCATGTAAAAGAACCAAGGGGTCTATTCAATAAGAGCTAGGGACTGGTTCCCGGATTCCCTTGTATCTTAAAGCTGTTTCTTAAATGTATACAATGTATACCTGCCTGTAACACTCGTAAGAGGGGTTGGCAGTATCCAGAGATAGATAGATAGATAGATACAAGGGAATTCGGGAACCAGTCCCTATCTCTTATTGAATACAGTAGACCCCTTGGTTCTTTTACATGCCCAGTGTTTAGCACTGATACATGCGAGGATTACCTGGATTTCTTACATGGCAGTACACCTCTACTGTAGTTAGTAGGAAAACACTGAAAGTGTCTCTGAAAAATCCAAAGGGTGTTTACAATCTGTTTCATATTTAATTCTACATTAAATATATATTGTTTCATATTTAATTCTACATTAAATATATATTTGCATGCAGTACCTTTAAACTTGATTGTTAGGCTCCGCCTACTTAATTAGTGTACTGACCAATTGACTACATATTGTTAAACAGTCTTAGAAATAAACTCAAAGTATCAACATCTCTTTATCTCTGCATCCACACCAAATTAACAAACATAAAACATGGTGTCAGAATAAAAGGGTTTAATTATTTATAATAATAATAATTAAAATAACAGTTCTAAATTAAATATATTTGGATTTATAACCATTGTAAAAAGATGGACTGGGAAGCTAGAGACTTGCCAACTGCATTTAAGAAGTTTAAAGAACATTGTGACTTTATGTTTGGAGGGCCACTAGAAAAGAAAACAGAGGAGGCTCAGTGCAATTACTTAATGCTATGGGTTGGTAAGAAGGGTCGCAAAATATTTTCAACCTGGACAGTTACAGCTCAAAGAAAACTGCTTCAGACATATTATCAAGGTTTCGAGATATAGTGTGCGCCCAAAGTGAATCGCATTAACTCAAGGTATAAATTTAAATCGTGCATACAATCTGAAGGACAGAGCTTTGAATAATTCGTCACAAGAGTTAAAACTATTAATAAAGGACTGTGGATATGCAGACGAGATACAAAGCGAGATGATACGTGATCACATTGTATTTGGTGTACGTACGTTCCCACCAGATAAGAGAGAAACTCATCAATGGAGGATCAAACTTGACACTTGAAAAATGTATTGACTTGTCTCGCACTTATGCATTAAGTCAGACACAGCTAATGGATATAAGCGGCCAAGCCCCATCCATCCATGCAGTCAAGAAATCCTCAGCAGCAACAACACCAGCACCATTTAAGCAGTTTCGGACGCAAAGCAGGAAGACAGATGGCAGCAAACACAACACTAGAACCCATCAACGAGTATCTACTGGAAATACAAATAACTGTAATAACTGTGGGACTTACCATATAAAACGTGATACATGTCCAGCCAAGGGTCAAAAGTGTTTGTACTGTACAAAGTTTTATCATTTTGCGAAAATGTGTAGGAAAAGAAAACAGGATTTAGGAAGCAAAAATGTTAATGACGTAACACATTTTAACACAAATGAGCTTGATTGTTCCCTATCCCGTCATGATAATGACAGGTATGTCTATACAGTTGAGCATGACAGCACAACAAATCAAGCATTTGCTAAGGTCAAAGTTTAATATGAAAATTGATACAGGAGCTCAGGTCAATGTTCTCCCAAGGTCAATATTCAGATCATTAGGCAAATTAGGTCCTGTACTTCCAACACAAAAGCAATTAACTGTATACAATGGTCAGCCTCTCAAAGTTGATGGCTGTATCAATCTTCCTTGTACATTGTACATATAAAGGTCAAATCTCTACAGAAGAGTTTTACATAGTGGATACACATTCAAGCCCCATTCTAGGTCTTCAAACATGCCTTAAGTTAAACTTAATTAAGTTAGTACTGTCTAATACGTGCACAGTGCCTATTACAAAGGAGCAAGTGCTCAATACATACTCGGATGTTTTCAACGGAAAAGGAAAACTGCCAGGGGAATTTGAAATACAGTTGCGTGACAATGTCACACCAGTAGTTCACCCTCCACGCAGAGTTCCTATTGCCATTCGTGACAAACTTAAAATAGAGCTTGACAGAATGGAAAGCTTAGGTATTATTAAGAAAGTCACAGAACCTATAGACTGGGTAAATAGTCTAGTTGCAGTAAAAAAACCTAATGGCTCTTTACGGTTATGCTTAGATCCGAAAGATCTAAACAGTGCCATCAAAAGACCTCATTACCCTAATAGGACAATTGACGACATATTGCCCGACTTGTCAAATGCTACTGTGTTTTCAAAATTAGATACATGTAGTTGTTATTGGTCTATCCAACTAACAGAAAAGGCATCTTACTTGACAACTTTTAACAGTTGTTTTGCAAGATACAGATGCCTAAGACTCCCATATGGCCTAAAGAATGCAAATGATGCATTTTGTGCAAAAATGGAATAGTGTCTGGAAAATTTGCCAGGAGTAAGAACAATTGTCGATGACATTGTTGTTTACGGCAAAGATAGGGCAGAACATGACCAAAATCTGGACAGACTCTTGAGAAAATGTCGATTAATATGCATCAAGCTCAATCCCGACAAAACGGAAACAGGGAAAACAGAGTTACCTTTCTTTGGCCACTTAATTACTGATCAAGGTTTAAAAATAGATCCTGCAAAGGTCAAGGCAGAGATGCCATCTCCCACTTCTAAACAGGAATTGCAAACAGTGCTAGGCATGGTCACATACTTACAGAGATTTGCACCCAAACTCTCAGAAATTACTGCACCCATGAGACAGCTTCTATCTAAAGATGTAGGTTTTAGCTGGGATGCACCCCAGGAAAATGCCCTACAACAGGTTAAAAGCATTATTACACAAATCCCTGGTCCAATACTCTCTTACTTTGACCCAAATAAGGAAATTACTCTTCAAGTCGACTCGTACAAGTATGGTTTATCGGCAGTACTCGTGCAGGAGGGTAAACCAGTTGGTTTTGCATCAAAGTCACTTACCCCTACTGAGGTCAATTATGCCCAAATCACAAAGGATTTGTACGCCATCCTTTTCGGATGTAAAACAATCCACCAGTACATTTACGGTAAACGTATTATATGTCAAAGTGATCATAAACCTCTCCAAGCTATATGGAAAAAAGGCTTGGACTCAGCACCTCCACGACTGCAGCGCATATTACCGCATTTGCAGCCATATGATATTGATGTAGTTTTCATCCCCGGGAAAGATATACTCCTAGCAGATTGTTTGTCTCGAAAATTCTTACCAGACACATGCCCAGAAATTGCCGAATTGGCTAATCTAGAAACACATGTACACCCAATTATGTCAAACTTACCAGTGAGTGACCAAAAAAATGGAACAAATTAGGTTATCAACCAAATCTGACCCACAAATGAAAATTCTTTCATCAGTTATTCATGAAGGATGGCCTAATAATAGAATTAAGAATTAAGAATAAGATTGCCCTCAAAGTATTCTCGAATTCTGGAATTTCAGAGATGAACTATCAGTTATAGATGGTGTCATCTTAAAGAATACTAAAATTCTAGTTCCAGCAGAGCTCAGATCACTCATGCTTGACATTATTCATGATGCACACTTAGGTGTAGAGAAATGCTTAAATAGAGCTCGAAACGTGCTCTTTTGGCCAAACATGGCCACAGACATAAAGAAAAAAGTTCTGGAATGCCCTATATGTATAGAGCATAGGTGTTCAAACCCAAAGAAACCCTTGAGACCAAATAAAATACCCGATAGGCCGTGGCAAATTTGTGCTACAGATCTCTTTCATTGGAATAATTCAGATTATGTGTTATTAGTTGATGCTTACAGCAAGTACTTTGAAGTTAGTCAAATCTCAAGTACAAAATCTAGTACAGTCATTAGCAAATTGAAAAGCTTCTTTAGCAGACATGGAATACCTGAAGTACTATACTCAGATAATGGCCCATGTTACAGTGCAGAAAGTTTCCTACAGTTCGCAAAACTGTATGATTTTTCTCATGTTACATCATCCCCAGGTCATTCATCAGGCAATGGTTTGGCAGAAATCAATGTCAAAACTGTCAAAAATCTGTTTACAAAATCAAAACAAGCAGGAAAAGATCCTTATCTTGCGATGCTGGAATATGGCAATGCCCCATTACCCTGTGGAAAATCTCCAGCACAGCTGCTTATGAGCAGACAGTTAAGGTCAACATTGCCATTAATGTCAGAGCAACTTGATCCCAAAGTTCTCCCACACAGGTTATCAGAGACAGCATGTTTAATGCTGAACAAAGGTCAAAATATTATAATGACAGGTCAACTAAAACCCTCAAACCTCTAGAAATTGGAAAAGGTGTTAGAATTAGGCAAGGAAAAAGTTGGTTACCTGCAGAAGTTATACATAAAGTTCATGACAGATCTTATGATGTTAGAACAAAAGATGGTGCAATATATAGACGAAATAGATACTATCTACTAAAATCAAATGAACAACCATTTTCTGAAACTGAGAACAGTTCAAATTTTACATTACACCAACCACCTTTAAAAATTAAATCCTATAACACAAAAGTTCATAACCCTAGTACTAATGACCCTGCCAATAAAATATTGACACCAGGTCAAGACGCTAATTCTCAAAAATCCCCTGTTGTTTTACAGACTAGACACCAAAACAAACCTCGCATGTCAAACATCAATCACCCCTGTCTGAGAATGCAGACAATGAATATAAAACAAGATCAGGTCGTTGTGTTAAAAAACCTCATAAACTAACATTGTAGAAAATTGTTACTCATACATGCTATTTTAATAATGTTATGTTGCCTCTTAAAATAATATATGTGTTTATGTATAGTTATGCATACAACTATCTCTACAGTACAAAGAAACACGTGTAGACTACAAATATTATCATTCTTGAGGTCGGTGTGAATTTAGTGACTATTAGTGTAATGATACACCATGGAACTAGTCTGGAATCAGCTATCAATTAAATGGACATTCTACCTCACAGATAAGCCATAAATAATTTGCTGAAATTTTACAACATCTGTGGAGGAACAGAATTGAGAACATTATCTAACAACAAAACAGACATTAAGATAAATCAGATACAAGTGATACCAACATCATTTGCCTTTCGATTCTTTCGACATTTCTTGTTGTTGTTTTTTTAAAGAAGGGAGATGTTTTATATTTAATTCTACATTAAATATATATTGTTTCATATTTAATTCTACATTAAATATATATTTGCATGCAGTACCTTTATACTTGATTGTTAGGCTCCGCCTACTTAGTGTACTGACCAATTGACTACATATTGTTAAACAGTCTTAGAAATAAATTCATAGTATCAACATCTCTGCATCTCTGCATCCACACCAAATTAACAAACATAAAACAAACATTAACAAACCCGGGACCTCAGGACTGATAATCAGTTGTCTAACCAACTGAAACAAAGTAAATGTTTATAATATTCACTAACATCAAGGTCTTTCAAATCTAAATCAAAGCCATCTGACACAAATGGCTATATAATTAAAGCTTATATTGCTCGTGTATCTGACACTCAGATATGGAACAGTTTCTCTAATGACATCCGCAAGGTCAAAAACTACTTGTTAATGAGTTTGGGAGACTGATCCATTTCATTCCTGTGCTATTAGCTCTAAATGTTTTTACTTTTCAGATCTGTTTTATGCTAGTAAATATGTTTTATGTCTCTGTTATTGTCAGAAAATAGCTTATTAGCTAATGTTTCTTGTAATTTGTAAACCGACTTAAAATAAAGTTTCTTATTTGTATCTTGTATTTTGTATCGCACACACAAATATAGCACTACTGTACAGTAGATGCTTCAATGTATTTAGAATACTTTTAAGTATAAAAGCTAATTTAGAAAGTAACACCACATTGTTTTCTGAAGAAAATGAAATATTTCATGAGTCTCTATGATAATTTATGACTTGGATATTTGCATGTGTATGTCAGTCCTGTCATCAGCAAAAAATTTCAATGAAATGGGGGTAATCCTCTTTGAAGTCATTTTGCAGAAAAAAAAAATGGTTGGCTACCCTTATATAACAGGAACATTTTTATGTGTCAGGCATTCTGCTAGAAAAATCTCCTCTTTAGCATAATTTTAAACTCAATTTTAAGGTAGGATTTAGGGACCATTTCCTGTGGGAAAATCAATGTGCGTGTTTGACCTAAATTTAGAAGCGCGCAGGGGACCAGTCTATATATTCCGACTGGCGGAAACGGCCGAATCCCAGTCTGACCGGTGTCTAAGTAAAGTTTTCCTTCAAGGTCAGAAACCGAAAATGAAGCTACAGAGACCGCTACAGGCCGATGTGCCTTTTCTCTCCACGCCTGGTAAAACCTCAGCATTGTTTTCAAAGACGAAATTTTTCGGTTTAAAATGGTAAGTTAGTCTGAATTTGTCAAGTGGAACTTAGCATCTTTAAAGTCATGAGAGACTGTTTGTTCACTCAATCACTGACGTTTCACTCCATGACGGTCCTACTAAACACTGCTAAGGACAGCTAAGGACCGCTAAGGACTGCTAAGGAGCCACAAAGGACTACTAGGGGGGCACAAAGGACCTTCGCTGTACTTACTGAATAATATATTTTAGACTGTTGAGATTATCCTCGATACAAAAGAAGAGTTGTTATACAATAATATGACAAAGGCAAATCCTCAAAGTGAGCTCGATTTACTTTTACCGTAAAAATAGTATTAAATTATTTTACATTTTCCTTTTTAAAATTGTCATTCAGTATTTTATACACTGCTTCCGTTTAGTCTGGTTACTTGTCCTATTATGGTTCCCATATAAGTGCCCAGGACACCAGTCTTCTCTTCCGTTTTCAATCAGAATACCTTGGTTTTATTGTTATCTTGTAATTCGAAAATTTGCGATGTGTCAGTTCAGTACTAGATGAAAGTCTTCAAAACCATCACTCGCATTACAGGGCACTCGTTTGGCCATTTTTGGGGCCGAATATCGGCCCCATTCCCCTCTCAAAATCATATGCTTTTTTCCCCTATTTCAGCAGAAAATTCCCCTAAAAAAAATTGTAGAATAAATGTTTGATATTTAACAAAAAAAGTGATGTTTTCATTTCATAAAAATAAAATATATTTCTTTTAACTTTTTCAATGGATTGAAAACTAAATTACAGTTGTCAACAACGCTGTATGTTAAAACCGAAAGTAGCAGGAAGTGAGAAATGTAGAAGGAGGTAAACTCTCGTAAAATTATTGACAAAATTAATTTGGCAGGATAATCATTGTAGGAGTTTACCTTATATTCAATTTGTTTAGAGAATAGACATACATTGTCATATTTTGCTAGTTAATAAACAAAACTATTTTAATTTCTGTCAGATTGATGTTGGAAAAAAACGTATTTCTCTTGCAGTTTTGTACTCAAATATTTTCGTACCCAGTTTTACAGTTACAATTTTCTCTGAAAACCAAACCCTTTTTTAGAAAAAGGCATGAAACTTTCTTGTTTATTTTTATTTAATTCTTATTTCAATTCTCATTGTTATAATTGTTTTCAATCTAAAGAAACAGGCAGAAATATGTAGAAAATAGATTAAGAAACTGACCAGTGCAGATTGCAAAATAGTGTGATACATTTTTAACTTTAAAAATAAAGAAACAATTAATGACTATAATAGGAAATAATTTTCCTGTGTTTCCATCACTTGGGTACAACATACCCTTGGCTTTCCAGAGCTTGTTGCACTGATTCAATTTCTGTTGTACAAGTTTTTTTTTAAAAACAACAACAACAAAAACAACTGTCAGTTTTAATTTTTTATCATAAACAAAAATGCATTATGCTTGTTATAGATTTTAATATAACTCTAACGTTTTTCAGAATTTGCATTTTACCCCTCACTTTAGAATTTGAGGGGTATAAAACCCTTGGCCAAAACATATATCTGGAGCTCTGATTGATGTCTGAGTCAGTCAAGTGCAATAACAAAGCAATAAAAAAAATAATGAGATAGCCTATCTCAAGAAAAACTTCATGTTATATGTTTTATTTGTTAGGTATATAGTAATAAATATACTAGCTATTGTAAGTAATGGTAGGAAATTGTGCCAAGAGTTAATGTAAAACCTAAATTTAAAGAACTCATATATGGCTTAAAATTCCCCTTTTTGTCTTGAAATGACGCAAAATTCCCCTTCCTGAGGGAATGGGTACCTGTCCCCAAAAGTTGTCTAGAGCCCTGCATTACCGTAAAGCTTGCTATTAAAATAATAACAAGCTTTTAAAAGGTCACGTTCTTTTGTATTATTATTGAAAGGTATTCATTTGATTTTCCTATCTTTAAGGAAGTGGCTAGCCGTAAGGGCTAGTACGGCTAGCCAAAAGTTCGAGCTGTACACGAGTCACATACAGCTAGCCAGGACACACTGTATTGTCTAGCAATACGGCACTTTTTAAAATTATATGAAAGTAGAAAATGCACATTTAATTTGTCTCTTTAAACGAGGTATTTAAGGAAGAACCCGCATTTGTCCTTGTATGTTTACTTTAATAAAGATGCTCCAACATTTTTGTAAAAAAAAAGCAAACGAAGGAAATGCAAGCGATGTCATCTTGATAAAAATGTTAAAGTTACATAATACATTATACAAAGTACATTGTATTAGGGCTTCTTAATGGGACAAAAATCATAATCGATCATCGAAAATAATCGAACAACCCTTTTCGATCAATCATCGATTATATAAATTATAATCAAAACATTTACAATAACAAAGTAAATATGTACAATGTACATATCATGCTTTTATATTTATAAGATTTTCATTTTGTGTAACTACAGTACTGGACACGCGAAACCCACACAATTCGCGTATTCGCGACGAACTCTCATGCTTTATAACGCGAGCGAATTCGCGGCAACTTGAGACAATTGCCGCGAATTCAACTCGCGGCGATTTTGCCGTGATTCGCGGAGAATAATACATGTTCATTTGTATAACTTCATGTTGATCTATTTATAATTGTACTCTGTGAACTTGAAACCAGATATACATGTACAAGTACGAAAATTAATTAGTAGATCTACATGAAGTTGTATCAAGAAAACATAAGACATAAATTCAAGCATGGTCAAATTACCGATGTGATAAACTAATCCTGCGTAAATATTCCCGTATGACCTGGAAGAGTTATAGTGGATCACCGGGACATTTCGTTCTCTCGGGTGATCATTACTCAATTTATTACACGTCTGTAAAAAATAACACACGCAAGATTTGTCTCCTATAATTTCTGAATGCCCTGTTTTAAAAATGTTAAAATATTTAATTGTTAGTTACCGAAATTATCGCCGATTGTTGAAATTCCATAGCGCTAAAAGACACAAAAACACTCGCGCAAAAAGAAGCATCCATAAATAAAAGGAATATAATGTTTCCTTTGTTAAATAATAAATACAAAATTTACACACGAAATGACCTCTGACAAATGATTGGTCGGCTCTTCTGAAGAATATGTGAATCTTTGATGTTTACACACCTGTAGTTGTTGCCGAATCATCAAAGAAATGCCGACACTCGATTGACTTCCACCTCTTTTTTATATATCAGAAAAAAACTGTCATTTCTTTTTGTCAAGGAATGATTACACATGTTTAATTATTGCTCAAGTAAAAAAAAATGTTGGATATTGATTGTGTCAATTATTGACATATTATAAATCGTAAGTGCATTTTGATTGTGATATTTTATTTACATTTTTATGATCTTGAAGATTTTTTCGGTCAATTTTATGACAGAATCCCCGCTGCTACCAGAAATGTTTTATTGCATGGGCTTAGTATTTAATCTGTGTCGTCAGTCATAAACAAACGAACATGTACCCCAAAGCACATTAAAATTACCAATGGTAAACTAGTGACCATGCAGTACTGCGTGACGTAAGGAAAATATCCTTCCCTGGTTGGTCGCTATTTATGTAAATACTTTAAATAGTTACACCCTAATTTTATGCACAGAATGCCCTCATGAATGATCACTCGTTACTTTACATATTAAATGTGTGATTTAACTCCGATTTTATTTTTGTTTTCGAGGGAATTTTTTGGGTCGAATGCCCTGGCTGATTTGGCGGAAATAAAAAAAATCTGATTTGCATCTTGCTACTCATGCACCTGTCATTTTTTACTCGTGAAATTGAAGGTAAAGAATGTCTCAATTTAAGTGATAAAACTTTTACAATTTTCAACAATCATAATTAGCGTATTAGACGTAATAATTAGTTACACCTGTGAATCGGTGCTAAATGTCGCTTTGCATTGTTCTAAAAATAGAATATGCGCGAAAGTAAACAATGGATTTTAATTACATTTGTATTATCAAAATAACAATTGGACAATTTGTTATCGTGCGTTCTTTGATGTAGTACCAATTACCTTTTGTAATTTCAATCTCGTTTTATTGTTAACTAATTTTCACCAGCACCTGATTGCTTTGTTTTAGTATACAAAATGTATACGCTGTACATGTTCAAATGCTAAATATTTATAAATATACATGACATTTACAAGATTTTTTAAAAGTTTTCAAAATAAAAGACCACGGGAATGACCAAGTAGTACTTTCTAATACAATTATTGCTGAAGATTCGCCGTAAATTACGGCGATACATCGTGGCGATTTTTCGTGAACCGCCATGAAATTCGGCGAACTTGCACGCGGCGATGTTTTACCGCGTAGTGTCCCGTCGCGACATAGACTACACTCGCGGCATAACGCGACTTTTGCGGGTTTCGCGTGTCCAGTACTGTACCACTTTATCAACTGAAATAAACTTGTTTAAAGATAAACTATGCTCATCCTTGAGTAAAATATTTTAATCAAATAAATTCATTAAAATGTATGAAATTATTATGTCTCAATTCCAATTAAGGAATGAATAAACTATATATGTATGGGAATAAGTTAAGTTGGTTCTTTCTTAACAAAACTGCCAGGGTTTTTTTAATGACACTATATAATGATATTGCAACCACCTTTAGTGTGTAGAATAATTTTATACATAACATATCTTCTTTGTGGGAAGTCAAAACATGTTTATTTTATATTTACAAATAGGCTGTGTAGCAATTCTAAATATTTTCTGATGTCAAATTTGAGCATAGTATATCTTTAAACTAGAATGCCTCACTGTCAACTATTAACTCCATGGTCACCAGTATGCTTTCATATTGATTTGAATGAAAATTATTGTAATGTTTCAACCAAAGCTGGCTTTAATTTAGAGTGTTGTTATAATACAGTGAGTCACTTAAATAACAGCAAGAAAATAAATTTCAGATAATCGATTATTAAACGATGATCAAATATAATCAATGATTGATTACAAAGTTAAACTTTGTAATCGATCAT